TTTTGTCTTTAATATCATCCTAATACTTTTCTCCCTTGGACTGAGAAAAAGTTTTTCTTTGGATGTGAATACCTGGTTGAAATTATGTAAAATATATCTTGACAGTTTCCTAACCTGAAAACCTGCACATACAGTCACACTAATTGGTTACTTTTAACAAATCATATTGCCTACTTTTTGTAGAACTATAATACAAGCTGAGAAAGAAAAGATGATTCATTGCTTCAGCTAGTTCTCTAATGTGGATGATGCATATGAAATGCTTCTTCTCTACTGATTTTAAAAATTTCCAAGAATCTTGGTAGGGATGATAGAACTGCTCTAGAATATCCATTTGTTGGCCAATTAATGGGGAAGGAGTTCTGAATCAGGGAGTAGAAGAAAAAATTATAGACAGCAGAGGCAGAGGTAGTTCTTTAGTTGATGAATGGCCAAGCCTTAATGTCTCTATTAAGGGTAAAGAATCTTTATTATTGGCCATGGTGAACCTGAATAAAATGGGGGAAAAAACAAGTCTACCCCTAGGTCCCATAGGGGGTAAGGGCTAGGAATACCATGGCTCTTTGAGGCTGTCCAAGTCTGACACCAAGCCAGCATGGCTTTTTCAGCATGGCTCTAACACCTTGGGAATGGGACAGAAAATACAGACGAGGAAAGTGGGAGAAGAAAAGACCATGCAAAATTAGTTGAGGCGAGCGCTGAGGCCCAAGGTAGGCACGAGCCCATACAAAGGGCCCCAGTCTCAGTCTCCTAAGTTCTCCCACAACAAAAAGCAAACGATTGGGAGGATACTGGAATGACATGTGAATCTGAAAGTTTGAATGGCATTAAAATATTACCATGTCTTTACCAAACTAAAATCTTTTACATAACAAATCACAAAAAAGATGCTGAACAGAAGCCTCCCTATCTTCTAAAATAACTTTCTGTAGTAAGTTGACTATAGTTGTATTTTTTCAATTTTTCCTACCACACTTTTAAGTGATGGAGACCCCAAAATGAACCTTAACATTATTAATCCCTGGCTTTCAATATCTTGATAGTTACTGCTTACATTGATCAAAAAGGGAAAAAGAAAAGATTGACATTTACAAAATAAATGAGAAGGGGTTCCCTTTAATTACAAAGGGAGGAATGAGATGACTTGAGAAGGACAAGAGACTAAGTATATTACTTAATCCTGTGACTGGCAGAAAAATGGCTAACCAGAAAATATGCATTTCAAGGTAAAATTCTGAACTGAGAGGTTCCTCATGTATAGCAAAATGAAAAACATGAACACATTTTAAAAACTTTTCAGGACTACTTTTCCTTAATTCATGACTTTTTGCAAGAAATTATGATAAATTTCACAAGTACATGATTTTGACAATCTATCATGATATTCCAATATGATATGACACAAGTGATAAGATGCGATGAACCATCTATCACAAATTATGATAAATTTCACAAGTACATGATTTTGACAATCTATCATGATATTCCAATATGATGTGAAATTCCAAGAATTTCAGCGTCAATATTACATGCTGAAAGCTCTACATTGTCCAATTTTAGGAAGGAAAATGTTGGCACATCACCCCCAATTCTGGAGTACTATCGATTCCTTGAGTCTCTTTTGAGAAAAAATAAAGTAGTGTGGAAGGTTATAAATTTCAATAAAAAGTAATACAAATACTGCATAGAGGTTTATGAAATCCAAATGTCTGTAAGCACAAATAAAAAGTCAGGTGATCAGAATAAAAAAGCGACTTGCATGAGAATACTCAAGTTCAGGATGAGCTGCTTGTTTTTTCTTTTCTGTGATTAGATCCATGAACTATAGTAGAAGCCAATGAAGTTTCATGGAAATAAATGAGCTCGGACCTGACTACCTTTTTACCATTACCGAATTGCCCTATAGCAGTGCTCTAACAAGAATTTCTTCCCACAGTTGACAAACCACATCCTTCCGTTCAGTCTTTTACCGGTGGAGTGTCTAATTATTATTATTTTTTAATGTTTGAAAATAAATGCGCTAGACATCAAGGGTCATGCAGCACTATGGTAAAGTATTACGTCGAAAAGAGCAAAGGATAGTTAAAGATTACGATGGATAGTTTTTTAGGATAGTAAAGGGGGATTAGGGAAGGAAGTGAACTAGAGCAGAGATTAGTATAAAGGGGAGGGTAGGGCGATTGAGTGAATTTTACTTCAGCAAATCGCATTTCTGCTGGAGGCCGCTTCCCCATGCGATATGGCCTGCGCGGTCAGTAGTGCGATTGCATTCACGCTGGTCGGACGTTGTTGACTGCGCCCCTGTTTCTTCCTATCCAAGTCGTATATTCCGCTGCCTGTTTTGTGCCGTTACCTGTTACGCAAGTCATTTAGAGTTTTTTTTTTACCGTTATCCTTCATAGGAGCGGGTTGGTGCCCTTACGGGTTTGTTGAACTGTTGTGGAACGAATTCTTAACTACGGTTCGGTTCAACGGTCTGATCAGCCATAAGGGACGCAAGTTCGGACTCCAGTTTTCATCGATGTTCAGGCTCCAAGGGCACCTCATCCAAAGTAGATGACTCACATAAGGAAATCTCCTGTAGGAAGGATCAGTCCAGAAGTTCCTCTTCCCAACGGGATAATGAGGCTAGTAAGGTACAGTCTGTGGCCGGTTCGGGCAGTGCTTCGGTCTCGGTTACTGGTGCCGAGCAACAACGGGTTGTTCATCCTCCTTGATCTGTGATGTGCGCTATTTGTGAGTTACGTGCAGATATGGCTAAGATGAAGGAAAAGGAGGAAGAAAGGACAAAGAAAGAGAACTAGTCTTCTCGGCTCGGGACAATGATGCGCGTCAGTACGCCTCACGAGAGCAGTAGTCTCGTACCACACAGGGTGATTGATTGTTGTTTCAAGGGAAGATTTCTCTTGTTTTTCTTCTCACAAGAGTGAAGATGAAGATGGTGAAATTCCTGATGATCCCGTTGGCAGTGTTTTGCTACAGAATGCTAAAACTTTTGGCCCAATAGACCAGATTGCGGAGGACATTGAGCAACACGTTGTCGGCAAGGCTAATCACTTGTTTGATAATGGTATGAGAGAGGACGGGTATAAGGACATTTTAGAAAACAAAATTACAAAGAGACCCAGAAATTGTCATGCTTTGGCTCCGGTGGAATGTAATTCTCAGATTTTAGAGGCCCTCAAGTCGGAAGCGAAGAAATCTGATTTTCTTAAGAGAGGTCGGAAAGAATATTTTTAAGGCTGCAACGATTATTACCAAATCTTACAGTGCTCGGCAAGCTTGCTCAAGAGGATCAGAATCGGCTGTGGCACAAGAAGTGGCATGATTAATGGAGCTTTAGCTTTATTAGGCAACGCCAATTACAGGAATATGACCAGAAGATTTATCATCAAGCGAGAAATTTATCAGAAATATGCTCACCTATGCTCAGAGAAAGTGCCTATGACAAAACTTCCATTCGGGGATGATCTCTCTCAATCGGCGAAACAAATTGTCTGTAAAACTCGGGAACAAGTTTTCTCAGAAGAAACCCTTCAATTCCTGGAAATTTGGTGCTGGAAGATTTGGAGCCAGAGCAAGAGGTTTCACGGGGAAAACCCTTTTCCGAGGATTCACCCAGATTTTACCCTTAGTTATCGGAAGTCTGGCTTCGAAGGGGAACAGAGACAGGTGTTTGCCAGGCGGGAAGTTGATGCAAAAAAACTCCCCCGAAGTCAATGTCCCAGCAATCCCCGACAATAACTCAGGTAAATCTAGGTTTTGCTGCAAGTAGACTTTCCAATTATGTTCAGGAATGGCGCAAGATTACAAGTGACCAGTTATTTTGGATATTGTTCAAAATTGCTACCTGGACATTGATGTTAATAGTATTCATCATTTATTCTCTGAGGGTATTGATGAATATAATTTTAAGTAAAGAAGAGTCACAATTTATTGATCAGGAAATTTGTAAATTGTGAACACTGAAGGTTATCAAACAAACTCAGAGATTGGATGGTCAAGTTATCTCACCAATATTTTTGAGAAAGAAGAAGAATGGAGAATTTAGGATGGTTCTCATCTGGAGAATTTGAATAAACACATTCCTTACACACATGTTAAAAATGGAAAACTTTGAGCAGGCAATTAAAATTATTAATAAAGGGGATTGCATGACTTCTGTAGATCACAGGCATGCATATTCGGTGAAAATTGCAGAAATACAACAGAATTTTTTGTTTCAAATGGAAAGGTCAGATTTACCAATTCACCTGCCTACCAAATGGTGTTTCAGAAGGTCCTCGTTTATTTACTAAATTAATGAAACTCATTTTTGCTACCTCAAGGGGGAGAGGCTACTCCGTTAATAGGTTTATTGATGACACGCTTATTTGCAGAGATTCCGTGCCAGAATATTGAGTGTATTGCTGAAACTGTAAAATTATTGAGGAAATAAGGGTTTTGTATTAATGAGAGGAAATGTTTTAGAACCCACAGTCTATTGAATATTTAAGTAATGACTTATTTGCATCTTATTTGTGAAAATTAATGTCTCTTCCAGAAAGAAGATATGAGAAAATAATTCAAAGTTGTGCAACTTTCATGATCAAAAAATATGAGAGGTAGCCAGGGTAATTGGTCTCCTGGTTGCAGCGATCCCGGCTGTAGAATGGGGGAAACTCCATGATAGGAAGTTCGAGTCAGCAAAAATTGTGGCGTTAGAGAAAGAAAAGGGGAACTTTGAGAGTTGGATGATAGTTACAGATGAAATGAGAAAGGACTTACTGTGGTGGGTCCAGACTGTGAAGCTTCGAGACATTTTTTTTATTTTTTATTTTTTTCTATTTTATTTTATTTATTTATTATTTTTATTTTTATTTTATTTTATTTCAGATCAGGTAGTGAGATCAGTGTGTATACGGATGCATCAATTTTAAGTTGGGGTTCATGTTTGAATAATCAGCTGATTAATGGTAGGTGGTCTGGGGACGAAAGGAAGTTACATATAAATGCCCTTG